GGTTTATTCTGAATTTTATTGAAACAAACCCAAAAATACTCCATGAAAAGTCTGTATTTTAAGTGAAATATTTCCACATTCACATCTCCTCAGGTGTGAAGGTTCACCTGCCCAGGGGATCTCAGCTCTTTCTTTGAGGCTTGGGTTTATTCTGAATTTTACTGAAACAAACCCAAAAAAACCATGAGAAAAGTTTGTCTTTTACCTGAAGTATTTCCACATTCAGATCCCCCCCCCAGGCCTCTTCAGGATTTCAAATCCTGGAAGAATCCCATGGAAAAATTGTTTTATGGCCCAGCCATGGTAAAGAAAGAATTGTTTTGTGAGGTGCCAACAGAATTTCAGCATCACAAGATTACTAAAGGAAGGATTTCCCATGGAGTAAAAGAAGAAAATCTTTTTGAGATTCCTTTTCCTTTCATGTTTAACTTTGATTTAATAGGAAAATTAGGGGGCATTGGGTTGTTATTATTCCCTACTAATGTTCTATTTTAAAGGAGATAAAAAAATAAATAATCAAGAATTGCTTTTCAGTAATGTTATGTGGAGCTGCACAGGTAAAACATCTCCACAATGACCTAAATTGATTTTTCCAGCCTGACCAGCAAGGAGCATGAGAAAGATCCCTGCAGGTGACACAGAGCTGAGAGAAATGACCTGAAATGTCAGGCTGGCCATCAAAAATTGGAATTTCAAGTGAATCAGCACAGTGAATCAGCCCAGAGTCACAACAACAACCTGGGCTGGCAGGACCTTAAAACTCATCCAGGGACACTTCACTGTCCCTGGCTGCTCCAAACCCCAACATCCAGCCTGGCCTTGGACAATTCCAGGGATTCAGGAGCAGCCACAGCTTCTCTGTGCCACGACCTGTCATCATTCCAGGGAATAATTACAGGAATAATTAATTACAGGAATAATTACAGGAAAACAAAGAGGTGAAGCATTTCATGGAGACACATCCCAAAAGTGAGAGCAACCTGTGAGCACAGCAGCAGGCACCTGGATTTTCAGACACATCAAGCTGAAGAATTGCAGTTTGCTGAGTGCATTTTAAGGATGACTAACACGGAATAATCTCTGTGGAATTGAGAATTTATAGTCGTGGTGTGATGCATTTGCCTAATAACAGCTCGTGGAGCACACTGGGGTGGAGGGACAAAGACAAACTGATGACAATTTCTCACTTCTCCTGAGGCCAACGTGTTTTTCTTCTTTCTGCCCACAAAGAAAAGCATGAAAAAGAAAAATCACATTCTCCCACAGGCAAACCAGAACCTTTTTGCTCTCCCCATCACATTTAACCCTATTAGTAATAAGATGAGAAGGAAAAGTCTTGAGGCAATAAAACAAATCCTAGTTCAGTGTACCCAGTGCACACAATTCACTGAGCTGAGTGTTCTGAGGGACTCACTGTGCAGCAATGGTGAGCTCATCTTCTGCATTAAAAAAAAAAAAAAAA